GTTTATGTCTATGGGGTAGTATCCAAGTCTCCAGGCATATAGATTAATCCGCGAAAATTGCGTCAGATATATCTTGTGTTGTATATAAAGGGAGATCCGGATATGCGTATGCGTAATAGCCTATTTTTGAACGCAACAGGAAGTTGCATCGCGAATACGGGGAGTGGGAATGAAGATTTCGAAGGCTCCTTATTGGAGTGGTGAAGAATCTCAATCGTCGTTCGGGGTAATTGATATTGCGGGGATTAGTGAATGTGCGTCTTAGTCGAGGACTGGTTTCATCGTTGTGGCTCTCTACTAGGTATAGGTATATTTTGGAGTACGGACTCGCTTGCATGGGATACCTACTGTCTGTATCTTGGTGAATGAAGAATGATATATCATATTTCATTACATGTAAACTCCTTTCACTCCTCGTCGTGAATTACTCCATTGCTCGTGTATCTCAATCATATCAATCACATCACATCACCTATCACATTATAACCCTTACCAGCCAAGCCAAGTAATAATGTAACAAAACAATTCCCAACCCAACCCGACACAATACAACACAACACAACTATCTTCAATAATTATAAGATGTCGTCTACTTCTTCCTCTACTCGGCTCCACTCCATATACATACTCGGATCATCAAGATCATCATACCAAATCCCGGAACTTGGGAGCGGAACTTGGGAAGTAAAGAGGATTCTAACTTTGTTTTCTTTTGATTACTGCTGAGTACGGGATTTGGGGTTCTGGGGGTTCTTGAGTTGGTTTTGGTTGGTTTTGGTTGGTTTTGGTTGTGAGTTGGTTATGAATTGGTTGTGAGTTGGTTGTGAGTTGGTTGTAAGTTGATTGTGAGTTGGTTGTGAATTGGTTGTAAGTTGGTTGTGAGTTGATTGTAAATTGATTGTGAATTGATTGTGAGTTGGTTGTGAGTTGGTTGTGAGTTGGTTGTAAATTGGTTGTAAATTGGTTGTAAGTTGGTTGTGAGTTGATTGTGAGTTGATTGTGAGTTGGTTGTGAGTTGATTGTGAGTTGGTTGTGAGTTGGTTGTGAGTTGGTTGTGGTTGTGGTTGTGGTTGTGGTTGTGGTTATGGGTTCGCGGGGAGAGTTTGCTTGGTATGTATATTTAAGGTATGTATATTTAAGGTATGTATATTTAAGGTATGTATATTTAAGGTATGTATATTTAAGGTATGTATATTTAAGGTATGTATATTTAAGGTATGTATATTTAAGGTATGTATGTATATATGGATGTATGGATTTGGATCTCCTCTCATCTCCTCTCATCTCCTTTTATCTAGTATCTCTCACTTAATAGGAAGTAGATAGGTAGTCAACTTCCCTTTATATTCATCATAATACTATATTATATTTATTGTATCGTATTTTATTGTTCAAATAGTTACATATATATATATACTTCCAATCCAATCCAATCCAATCCAATCTGATTCAAAGTAGTAGCAACGAATTCCTCTTTAGAATTACAACTGAAAGAGATATTCATGCAGTACCAGTCGATTCTCGACTTTTACGCACTTACTGGGAGAACTTTGATTTTTTGTATTGGTATGTTGCGTGAGGGGGGTTGTGAGGGCGTGTATCAAGTGATGGAATTGGGGATATAGGGATATAGGGGATGTTGGTAGTATCTGGCGAGTCTGTTTTGTTTAGATGTGAGAAGTTCCCTGGCGGGTGATGTAGCTATCTAGTATCATACGTGTGAATGTAAAGTACGAGGAGTATGTCGTGTTGATACGATCTTGAATCTTGGTACCTGTGTTCGTAGTTAGAATTGAGTTTCTTGTTACATGTATATATATATACATACTATACATACATATCATAATAGAATGTAAATCCTAACACTGTACGAAACATCAACCCACGGAATACTTGATAGGATATTATGGTGTGTGTTTTACTGGTATTGTGTTAGAGTGTTTATTTCTCTCTCTAAATGCAGATTCCTGGGTTATGAGGTTTTGGTTTATCTTGTGGTGTTTTTATGTAAGATATATATATGTGTAAGTGTTCAGATAGGTATTTGCGTTAGCATCTTCATTTTAGATATAGGATAGAATCGAAGTTGTTGTATATTTGATCCGTTGGTGCTGGGGTGTGGGTGGAATGGGGAGATGGTTTATCTAGAGACAGGAGCTATGAGTGGGAGTTTGGTGGTTGATTGATGGATTGGGGGGGAATCAGCGGTGGTCTGAAGATAGAGAGGTATGATTTGGGGATTGGAGATTGGAGATTGCTGCGCGCTTAAAAACTTAGGGAGTTGATAGGTGTATACATGTATGAATGTAGATGTCAGAGATCCTCGTAATCAGTTCGTGCGGAGATGTGGGTGGTAGGATAAATACTAGGTATTATTGTATGCGGTTTGTGGGAGTTGAGGAAGGGACTGGTTTATTGATTTGTTGCTCGTCTGGAAATGCATGCCTACAGACGGCATCGTGTTTTGTGGTAACAAGGCTGCTTCGTTTTGGTTAGTTGTCTGAGTATAAGTGTATATAGAGTGTAGACTGGTCCATATACAGTTCGTCATTTCAACATACCTCTGATTAGGTTTTCACGCGTCTGTAAATGCGTATTGACTGGTTTGTGGTTAGCACCCTGCGCTTTCTTGCTGCCTACAATAGTAGCATGTTGTTTTCTAGTCTTCTTGTAGTGAGATTATGCTATGAGGTCGATTACTGAATCTTTCGTTGCGTATCTAGAGATGCATATGTACTGTGCTATTCTGATACTTAGTATTTGTGGTGTGTATCTAACATGAGATTTCTATCACTTTGTTGCATATCTACAATTGCGTACGCACCAGTCAGTAGTTTTGAATTCTATAGTAGGGCGCTGGGTTTTTTGTTGCGTGTCTGAAGGCGTGAGTAATGTGGTATCCCATATTCCGCATATCACAATGACTTATACCTGTTTCCTCCAAATTTGATCCAATCTTCCTAAATACTCATCTAAGGTTTCATTTTTTACTATCCTATGACTGAGTTCCAAGGATAACTTGGTCCTTTTCGCTAGTCGTCTGAAATATGATTACTCATCTCGTTAAGGTTTTCCGGAAGAAACCTCCAGTTGCACCTTTTGCCTGGCCGTGACTCCTTACGAACCGTGCAATATAGTCTGTGTCTAGTCCGCGCGAGTGGATGGGTGATTTTAACAATAAGAAGTTTTCTGCAATATAAAATCACATTCGCTAACTTCGCTTATATTTGCTCTATATCTAATTCATGTGTACTATTCAGCGTACGTAGTTCCGTATTTTACTAGCAGTGTACTTTCTTTAATTTAACATCTAGTAACCGGTATGGATGGCAGGCTTGAGTTGGAGATATTAATACAGCGTGCACATGAATCTAGTTTCTGCGATCCTTGATGTTTGGACTAGATTTGATTTTGGTCATATGTTTTATGGAATCGTAGCCGACTTCTTGCTCGGAGGTACAGGTTATTATTAGAATGAATGGATCATTCTTATCATTAGATTAGTAATAGGATGGAAAGACATATGCGAGTATTTAATATGTGTTACGATAGTGGAGAGCCTCCAGCGTTTAATCTCTTTTGTTGCATTTCTTATGCGTCCTTGCCGTGAGATACAGGTCATACAGCCCTGTGCTAAATATATACTTTGTTGCATGTCTACAAATGGCATACGTACTGTGGTTTATCACAGAGCTTGCTATGGAACTCTGGGATTAGTAACAAATATTGCCTTGTTGCAAGTCTGAAATTGGCGTGCTCACCGTGGTTCACACTTATTTGGATGGCTGCATGACTTTGACTGGATGGCTCTTGCATGGAGAATTTGAATGTGACTTCTGTTGTATATTTGAAATCAATATGGACCGTGGTATCTTGTGTAATTTGATACAGATTTTGGTTTGGAGAATGTGTTCTTTTGTTGCAAATCTACAAAAGGCATACTTGTCGCAGCATATCAGGAATTTCTATACAGTCATCCCCATATTTGGTTTAAGGGTTGTAATTTCCGTTGCATGTATACAAGTGACATACTTACCATGGAATTAGTACCGACGCATGCGCATAGCTCAAATCATCCGATTTGATTCGAGAGAGTCCAGGCAATATAGGTGGGTGAAAGTCAGAAGTGATAGATAGAAGTGGAATTTCTTTGTGTCATGGTAGTTCATGTAATAATGTACCTTGAGATGGTGATAGGATCTAGACCCTCGACGTTAAACGCCATGAGATTGTAAAAGACAACATAAAATCGTGGAAGAGGAGAAATATCAATTCAATTTCAACCCCAATTTGCCATCTCCCTAAGTCATCAGACAACCCATAAAGCTTTATATACCTACCTCTTTGAACAATCGAAAACATATCATCCCATCTAATATAATCATACTTTTGACTCCTTAACAATCATATTCACTACAACTACACCAAATGTTATGTTCACTGACAGAAAAATTGCACTTAAAAAGAGCCATCTGATCGTGACGTACTTTACTTCAAACGTACACTTATAGTAGCATTTTGAAACTATCTGACGACAATCACAGAATTCTCAAATCAGAGCTGGAGATTAGATGCTTTCAGTTAATTATTCAAGAATGTTAAATCGCGGAATAAGGACTTGAATTGGGTTTTTCCATCTCATATCCTTTGTGGCCAATATGTTTTGTTAAATACCTTCGTCAAGACTCTGAGTACCTTGGAAGAATAGGTTTAAAAATGTGATCATAGTGCTGTTGCTTCCCCTGCGTGACTACTCGCTAATAACGCAGATTGTCTGTTGCTGGGTTTATGATAATTTATCATTTTCAGACGAGCACTTTATGATCTTCGCGATTGTGTAAAATCAACCATCAGGCCATAGTCAAGCGAGCATAACATTCGGCTCAGATGTACTACTGGAATGTGTGATGTCTTTGTATTGTACAAATATTTTTAGGATCCATTTCTCCTGGTCCCCTACTAGCGAGGCGATTTCTCGGCTATTCCATCCCTAACTAGATCTAGAACCCCACTCTCTTAGACTCTTGAACCTTTATAATTTTCTCCAACGCTCTCCCTCCATCTTGTGCCCATCCAGCCTCTCCATCTAATTTCAGAACTCTTCCCTTTCCTCTCTCTGTAACTCTCACTGGAATGAATCCATCCCTTGTCCAACATCTTCCAAATGACCTTACCAACTCAAATAAGCCCACTGAAATCTTTCGTGTGCCTCTTCCAATAATGTGCGTTCTATCATATTCTTCCAACTCCCTTTTCTTTGCCTCAACTATCCTATTCCATGCTCGTTCCTCGGCGGGAGTTCTGGCTTGATAAAGATGACTTGTAAGATGGAGGGAAGAGGGTGGTAGAGTTAGAATGCGCGGAGGCATGAATGGAATAGGAACAATTTTTTTGAGGGCAACCTCTACATAAAGAGGTGCGGCGACTTTTGGAGGATGAGCGCATAGGCTGGCAGGGACGGCGGTTATAGATTTAATGAGACCGGCGGGAGAGAGAATGACGTAGCCTCCACAACAAGCGAGGAGGAAAGATATGCCGCCGAAAGCATAGGGAACCCATACAGCAATATCATCAGGGATATGAACGTAATTATTCCAGACTGGTAGATGAAGAAGATGGGTTAGCGAGGGGTTTTTGGGGACAAGATGTCTGGCCAATGAATGAGGAAAACGTACAAGTGAGACCGGCAAATCCCAGAAGAAAGGTTCCAGCTATGTAGGAGGTCACAATGTATCCGGTATGCGAAGCCGCTTGGTAGAGAATTGTGGTATGTGGTTTCGCAGCCAGAATATCGGCATAGCTGTGGTACTTGAGAGGTTTTGGAGCCAGCGATGGTGGTTTCGCGACAACTAATTCGGGGGATTTGATTTGACTTGCGACCCCTGGCTTAGCTTTGAGCTGTGGCTTGGGTTTCGATTTTACCTTTGCCGTTGGCATTGCCATTGGCTTTCTAGCTGTAGAGCGACATAAGGATGTCGATGTGAAAAGTCGATGGTTTCGACATGGTTTTGGAGTTATGAAGAGGAAAGCTCGGGAGGAACTTAGAGTCGTAGAATGTATTTTAATACACCCTCTTGAGAATGCGAACGTCTAAAAAGTATTAGCAACGACTTCTTGACAAGCTAAATATATATATTCAAATAAAACGTACCATACCTGGAGAACAAAATTCAATGAGTGAAATCGGAACCCGAAGCTTCAACTTCGGGACGGGAAAAATTAATGATCGGAGGTTCGGCGAAATTATTCAACCCTGTTAATTGGCCTAGCGTGTACCCTCCCGAAATATCCCATTTGTTGATCTCAACATCTCAAGAATATCTTCGACTTTCACTTATCTCCTCAAGAAACTCTCAATTGAGTTTCATATCTGCTACAGTCAGTATGGCATCTTTTGCGACAGCTTGTCGTGTATCTGCTAGACTTACTGCTAGGGGATTGCGACAAGATGCCACTGCCAGAGGTTAGTATTTACCCTTGAGAAATTTTGGGTTGAGTATGGGAGGTTAATATTTGATGATGGTAGGACTCAGGACTTCTGCAGCATGTCTAGCTGCCCAGAACTTCACGATGCCGGCTCTTTCTCCTACGATGACCGAGGGAAATATTGCAAAGTGGAATGTTAAGGAAGGAGATTCATTTGCGGCTGGTGATGTCTTACTCGAGATCGAAACTGATAAGGCTTCAATGGATGTTGAAGCTCAGGATGATGGTATTATGGTGAAGATCACAATGGGAGATGGCAGCAAAGGAATCAAGGTTGGCACAAGAATCGGTGTTCTCGCAGAATCTGGAGATGATTTGAGTTCATTGGAAATACCAGCTGAAGACAGTGCTGCCCCTCCACCGCCAAAAGAAGAGGCCTCGAAGCCAAGCCCCGCAAAGTCCTCAGAATCACAAGCTGAAGCTCCCCCTACCTCGAAGCCATCTGCCGAGACTTCCGCTCCCGTAAAGAAATCATCAGGAAAGGCAAAGAAACAAACATACCCTCTACTTCCTTCAGTCGAACATTTGATTCACGCACGTGGATTAGATGCATCTGATATTGAAAAGATGGTGCCCAGTGGTCCTAATAATCGACTGTTGAAAGGTGATGTTCTAGCGTATTTGGGCTCAATATCTTCCTCATACCCTACCGAACTTTCGCAAAAGATCGCCAAACTCTCCCACCTCGACCTCAGCAATATTAAGATTGCTCCTCCCAAGGCAGTTAAGCCAGCCAAGAAGGACGCACCAGCACCAAAACCAATCACATTCCACCGTGTCGCCCACACCGTTTCCATGAAAGCAGCCGTAGAGGTTCAACAAAGGATACAATCTACACTTGGTGTATTCATACCTCTCTCAACATTCATTGAGCGTGCAGCAGATGTCGCAAATGATGACCTTCCCCGCCCAAAGAACTACAAACCAACATCCGATGAACTTTTTGACTCCATTCTCGGGCTTGACAAAGTTAACTTAGCAAATGGGGTTAGAGGAAACTTTTTACCGGAGAGCGGTGCCGCACTTCGCCAAGGTGCTCAAGCATTACAATCATCGAAAAAGAACAATAATATCGATGTCTATGACTTCTTGTCAGGTGTTACAAGGACGGCACCAGTCAAACGCTCGGCACCAAAACCGGAGCCAGTTGCAGCAGATGAATTTTGGGTAACAATTCCAGAAACTGATATGGAGGCTGCGTCAATTTTCATGCAGAGATTCAAGCTTGTCTTGGAACAGGAGCCCGGGAGGTTGATTCTGTAAAAAACGCGTGTGTAGTATACCTAGCTAGATGGAGAATAGATTGATGATACCACGAGAGGATTATTTTCATTACCAATTTCTTCTGAGCCACTTTTCCGTCTGTATGTATGCAAAGGTGACGGACATGTCCGCATATTTAAAACTTCCCTAATGCACGCTACTTCCGGAAAAGCACTTTTCCATCGATACGATATGCGCATAGTTTGCAACTGTCGTCATCCATACAGGAAATGAAGTACCGATCCATTGATTCCTGTACAAAATTATGTATGGTACAGTCGGTGTGTATCAGATTATGTGATTTTCTCTGTTGAGCGGTAAATTGATGTCAATTACCGACGAATTGATGAGTAGGTTGCAGATACCAGTGTGACAGAGTAGGTTTGCAATTCTCATTTCTGCTAAGGTACTTTGCGCATAGGAGTTCCAGATTATGTGATCTTCCATTAGTTGATACGGTGATGCTGTCTACACACAAATTCGCAAAGCAGGCCGCAGAAACTAGAGCAATACTTGTTTCCCAGAGCTTCCACTCCTCCATAATTACCTCGGGATGTGCTTGTGCGGTAGAGATATACCTTTATTTCTTCCGTAGGACTTGGAAGGTTTTTTCTTTTCTCATTCTCACTCATGCCTCTTCGCCTTTAGAGTGGTTTCGCTATATATCACCAACTTCAACAAAATTGCGTCATTTTGACAGCTTCTTCTTGAAGCATCTTCTACCTTGTATGGCTGTCATGGCGACATGCTTTTCTTAATTTTGAACAAATACATCGATGTCTAAAGTTCCATCAGAATTAGCAGTGATCAGCAAAAATAGCAGCACGTCTTGCTTGGTATAACTTGTTTTCTGTCATACAATCCTCGCTCTCTTCTCTCATGGCGATATGAAGACTCTCTGAATCTCAACAGTAGCCTGATAGACCTGCCTAGCTCGCGCTCTCTGGCCGAGGAGTTTCACAAGAGTGTGCCCGTAGCTTCAGAGTCCGTACCTCTCGAAGGCCTACCCTTTACGAATACTGTTTAGCTTTCATAGCAATGATGAAACTAGGCTATATTTCATTGCTACAGAAGATAAGATGCAGTCTTGTGCGCAATGGACCCTAGGAGAATCATTTCCTTCTCAATAAGCACCAATTGGTGGGTGCAGACTGGCCAGAACCAGCCAGATAAACCAGAAAACTTACACACCGCCGTCAGCACCCATCAAGGACCAATTGGTACTCGGAAGCTTACATCACATTGTCCTTTATAACACCAGATTAATTCTAACAACGCGGTCTGCACTAGGAGCACGAAAACCCAGACATGTCCTCATCTTTTAGGTTGACTGGCCCTGTACACCAGACCAACCTCAGACAAAAGAAGTTCACGGGGTGGGGAATAAGGAAAGGCAACACAATCATTACGTGCTCAGTTTTACGCTTCGATTAGGTCACTAGATAGCATCATGTGTCTTCGGCGTGGAACAGCCGTTTCATGGTTCGATTTCGCAAGAACCGATAGTAAACAGGAAGAACAAGATAGATGACCGAGCTGCTATAGACCCAAATCTGTTGATGACAACAATTTGAAATTCCTACCGCGGCAGAATTTGGGCTCAATTCACGTTAGACAATGGAAGGATTGCTTATGGTCCCCGGAATCAACAGTCTGTCCGATACCCTCAGACCCTGCCTTCCTCTGCAGAAGATATTTAAAAGGACATCCCAATTTCTTAACACATAGCAATAGGCCAGCGTGTCCCCGTCAAACAAAGGACATCTCAGAAAAGAGCTCGTTGAAGTTGTTACGGTTTTGAGGAACCCTAAGAACATCAGAGCGCGAAGGATGCATTCTCCATTGTTTTAGTTCGCGAGGATGACATCTCTCAAAATACCAGGGCTCTCATCGAATAAGATCCTCACAAAGTTAGTTTGGCAGGAATGATAGGGCAAATTTTGTCACATCATAAAATTTGATGCAATCTTTATTGATACGGAGTCCCGTGCCAGGAGATGAGAACAAGCAAGACCAGTCGATGCTCCCCACCAGCTAGGGTGCTTCAAAGTCTGTTGACTCTTCCACTTTATTTCTTCTCCATGTGTTACTGCACATCCTCACCCTAAATACGGTGACACCTTTCAAGTCTTCGATGCTACTCAACATCATGCCATATTATCCTAGATCGCCATACAAATCATAAGCTTCACTTATATTGCTCAAAGGCACTCGAGGCTCGAGAAAATAATCAAGTACCACAACCAACAACTAACAACTAACAATATCAACAGTCCGCCACTCGCTAAATAACATGTCCTTTTTTCATCTGTAGATCTGGATATGAATAGAGTGCGCCAAAGACCGAAGGGGCTCTAAGGTCTGATCGAGCAGCAATATTCAGCCACACAACCCCGGAATTTCGGACTTACACAGAGGGTAAATCGACTGTAATTATATGCCTACTGGTACCACGAAGAAAATATGAATTCGAATACATTCTCGAACCGAGGTTGGAGAAGTGTCTTCACTAAATAAGTGTGCGTAGTCGACTGGGAAAAGTTCAAGGAAATTGGTGTGGTCGCTAAGAGCTATAAGCTCCAACCCCCAAATCGTCGGGACATCTACCACGACAATACAGAGAAGATCGCCGTTTTCTTATACAGACCCGGAGGAGATAAGAGGCTGTCGGTTACAAAGCTGGGAGGTATCTGGATAGACGGCTCTTTGAAGTTGAAATCCGCAAAATTTTCCGCGATACTATCGAAAATTTCAGCGACAATATGGTTGCGGTACACGAAAAGCTTTTCAGTATCAAGTTTTTTGCATTTGCTCCTGGATGGGACAAAGAGAAACCATGGGCAAAGTTCATACTCAGGTGCATTTTGAACCACAAGGAGGCAAACACCAATGTTGAGACCGATGAACCGTCCAATGGATACCCAAACAACGACACTAATTTTAAGAATGAAGAGAGAATTTCCGTGGTGGATCGCAGCGAACAAGAAAGTTCGAATGGTGAGCCCAACGATGAAGATATGATAACATCTCAACGCAGATGCTTCAGGATTATGTGTATTTTGTTGATACACAACGACTTCTCCTTCATCCCTATCTTTGATTACTTGGCCATCATCTTGCTCACGTTCTCTTTTATGGCTGCCATGCCGGCTATCAAGGTCCTGAGCCAGATCATCGTTTTTTATAAGAGCACTTAGGTTAAATTGAGGAAGACATTGAGCTTCTATTGAAAACCGAAGCATCATCATTACCGAAGAGAAAGATAATAGAAGGAGAAGAAAGAGAGCAGGCAAATGTCTGGGATGTTCATGCTGCTTCTGCGAGTACTGCAATGCAAGACTTCGCGGATGATTTCTTAGTCTTCCTCGAGCTTGTCATCATTGCACATGACATGAACATAGGTGTTTTCAGCCCGGTGTTTTTCAAAGATCCCGAGCTCGACCTCGATATGACATGAATCAAGTGAGAACAATGGGCACTTCTTTGGTGATAGTAGTAGGTCCAGATGAGCTGATTTACTCGCATACACCAAATATACCTGTCGCCATTGAAATGGGTGGAAAAATGGCTAAGTCGAATAGTTCGCCCCGTGGTCTTGCAACGAGCTGCAGATAATGTAACGCCAGCAAAGTCGACGCGTCTTATGATTCTGTATGTTCTACCGACAACCATGTGTTCAAGATCTAAGAAGACCAGAATATGGGACAGTTTATTGTGGAATCAGAGCAGCAGATGAGATTGTAGTAGTATTCTCGTGGAGATGGTACACACTGCACAATTTCTTTCACCGATTTGACTCTGTTGTCTAGCCTAGTACCTTCGGTAACGAAATTTGCATCGCCTACCAGAGGGCAAGAGCAGACTTTTGAGAATCAGTTGATTCAAGACCCAGCCACGAAAGGTCCAATCTCGAGTTCCCGGTTTCTAGTTAGAAGTTCACCAATAACAAAGCAAACAAGACATTCCAAGCGAGCACCCATTGGATCTATTGCTCCAGCTGTTCGACAACATTTGCGCGAATGAAGAAATGAACTTCCTCAAGACCCAGCTATATTGGGTACACAACACACCTATTGGAAGTTTCGAATTTTCAAAGGGCAACGATAAGTGGTTACAACTCGACAAACGATATGCCGAGAATTAAGGGAATATTGGGTATGCAATCAAATCGAGCAAAACATAAGATGAGAAGATGATGTTACTCTAATTGCTGGATCCATCAATTCCATAGGAATTTTTCTCCATGGAAGATACAAAATCCATGAAAAAAACTGGGAACTAGACTTATATCTGACTGATGGCCCGTTCAGCGATCCTACCTAAAATGAAACCTACCTTTCAAAACAGGTATTCCAGGGAGCGCGTCATCAGCAGCATAACGGGTCCATTCCGAAATTCTACAGGCTAAGAGTGGATCACACAGGAACTCGCTGGTCCGGCTATTTGAAAGAATCTGGGGTTAGGAACTCAGATGTATTAACTGATCAACTCGACCCTCTATGGTTTTGGCAGTGTTCTCCTTTTTCAACTCCTAGGTTGAGTCACTAATGAACAATATCATACGATTGCCGGCGGGTACTAAATCGCCAATGAAGAGAAAACTGATTCATTGGTCAATAAATTTGCATGCCCTATACGATTAACTACCCCATATATGTGCCCCGTCACGGAAGCACTCATTGACGAACTTCCTTCGCCCCAACGGCTTTTTTAAGACATTAAAGAAATATGACAGTTTCAAATTCTTGTTTTGGGGGCTGGCTGGACTGGGAGATGAGATTGAGAGGGGCTCTAATTAAGAGTCACAAGCTCGGTCTTACCTTTGATTAGTTGGCTGCGAATATGAACCTCGAGGAACTCGTTCTTCTAATTACAGGTTAACGGGAACGTGTATTTTCTTTGGAAGTCCGCTTCTTTCGAGTGTGTTGATGTTAGCGAGAAAGGAAACGTTAGAAGGAATGGGGAGCTGTCCAAGAAGGAATGACTGGAGACAGTAACACTAATGGACTGGGATCATCTTCGCCCACAACAACCTTAACTACATACTTCCAGCTACTAAACGCCGGAAGATGTGTCCCTTCAGCATCACTTCCAATCTCTGGCATCGCTCGGCCTTTTCCAGGTGATGACTACTTAACATCCTTACCGGAATTATCTTTGAAGTATGGACATTTCACAAGACGGCGGACAGAATCATAGAGCATGTTAAAATTACGCTAGGATCTAAAAAGCAAAGCACCAAAGATTGCATATTAATTGCTAATTGGAGAAACCATCACACGGAGGCAATCTTGATCTTCACGCGGAGGATACATGATTTCTCACTTTCAAATTTTCCTCTCCACAAGTTACCTTAGGATATTCAAGTTGATAGATCTTGCAGAAAAGCCTGTAAAGTTCGACTAAGGCTGAATGAAGTGTGAACAAGAAAAAGAAGACAGATCGGTTCCGAAATCGAAAATATTGAGACTGCGTACCCGGAACCAGCTATTGGTCTTAGAAGACGACAGGAATATCGGCTACATGCAAGTTTGTAAACATTGTTACATAGGATATCGAATGCCGTGGGAGAGGAAGCTTTTTAAAGTCAAGAGAGATCCAGGAACTATTGTCGATTTTGCCGCGGATTGCGATAACAATGGCATTGTAAGCTTGGAAGCTTCCTGTGTCATACGAAACACACGCAAAACATTTTGGATATCCACATAATCGACTTCATACTTCCAGCGACGAGGACGGATTACTTTTAGGGGGGCACGAGAACTAAAGAAGATCCCATCTTGTCGAGCAGAGAGCTGCATAAAAATTCGACAAGATGCGCTTTCGGGTGTTAGAGTAGAAACACTCCATATGCAAGTACGCTGCACGATACTTCATTCAGGCAACAGTTCCTCAATGGAGACGTGACAGGCACTATCCACTGGCAAGAGTTCATATCGGATCGAGATAAGATGTTCAGGAAAAACTAACTTCTTGTATCATCTGAATTCAGTGATGTTATACGATACTAGAAGATGAATTCTGCTGGCTGATCAAGGGATCTCTGATCGGGAAAAATGCAACATTCGAGGAAGATTCAGATGTTTGCAGTATCAACGTTAGCTCGGGCTGACAGGTGAAGAGAGAACTGTGTGACGAACATCACATATCAATGTTATTACTTATCACACTTAGAGATCTCTTTCCTCTTGAGCTTTCTCATTCTATTTTATTTGACCTCTATCAATATGCTCCAGCATGTGATCGCCACACTGTATCAGTACGATACAGGCACTAGAGAATAAAAAGGAAAGAATTAGATGCGGCGAACTCTATAAGAGCGCCGCTAAAGAGCAATTGAAATTCTCTAAGAGCTGAAGAGCTTGCTTCCAAGGTATCCTTTATATCTTTGGAAGATAGGTTAATAAATAGAGAAAGTATTGCAATTGCGGAGATTGTGCCCGAAGGATCAACTTGTGTTCTCCGAACTAACCGTCGTTTCCCAAAGCTGTTCACAGAACAGTTGAGATCAATCCTTCAAAGCCGAATCCAGAGAATCATGGTGAGATACCCGAGGGAATTCCGTGACTATTCATCCACAGAGAGTTCCCAGATGTACGAGTATTTTTCGTCAGAATTCTAGGTCGAGGTCTCCTTTCCAGGCAATATGGGACGACTATTAGCACAGGAAATTGCAAATCCTGGATTGGATCGGATGCTAAGATCCGCGCAGATCTAGCACCGGTGGCTCAAGCATCGATGAGCGACTCGCAAATTGCTCATTCGAATAAGGGAGCCGAGACTCTTGAATTCCTGACAGTAAGTGTGAAGGTGGAACAGAAGTGATGTGCTTTCAAGTTTCATATCGACGATGGTACTAGTCCATTGTAGATTATCACTGGAGGACATAAAATACAGTGCTTCGCGCTTCTTGCACCACATCATCTTGGGATCTTCACAAGGAATTTTTTTGCCATCTGCCTAATAAAACTTCGGCCCCACAAAGAGAGACAGATCGAACAGATCGAGAAATTATGCTCTGACTTTCAAACTATGAGAAATGGTCGAATCAGGTCACAGAGAGTGTCCAATCAACAATTACCAAACCACAGTTAGAATATGGAATTCGTCAGATTCAGTATAAAGAACCAAAGGATCGAAGTATGGAGCTGAAAATGAACGATTGGCAATGCAATTTACCAAATATCAAGGATTAATTGTTTTGACTTACTTCTGTGATGCTTTTCCTATCAAAGAATAATGAGTTCGACGGCCCGGTATGTTAACGTACACGAAAATTATGACCATCATTGATGTTGGTAAACATTCACACCAGGATATGGGGATTTTACGACCATACAAGAAATGCGTTGGAGATCGACATGCATCTAAGCATCACAGCTTTCTGAGATCCGCATCGCGTGTATTAAGATGGTCCTTGTGTGAACAAAGAGTGAATGGATGGCCTTAAGTCACAAATGAGCTAGTCCTACAGCAAGGCATGTTTAAGTATTACTTATTCTGTACATAGCTAGCTCTTTAGATTGAATACAAATTGACAACTAGAGCCTTCATTGTAGTTCCTACATCGTTCGTACTCTTCTCAAAGCAACAATCCTCGAGGTCCTACCTCCAGTGGTAATTGGAGAGGAACATGGGCCCTCAAACAGATGACCCTGAAGTGTATGGAAATAAAGGTGGGTGGTAGATTTCTAGCCATGTTCAGCGGGACTATCACTAGCTCTGGAGGAAATCCAAAGGAGTCGCAGCTCGCGATGTGAAGCATCATTTCACTCAGTACCACAAACACGTGATTATACTCGAGGAGATCATCTAAGGGAACGAATTCTAGCTTGAGCTGGACAGCGGCATTTATCAAAAAGAAAACAACACGTCCTATGTTTTTTCATTGACTGGTGGGCTGATATTCAACCTCACTGGAAGTTTTTGAAACTTATCCTGGTATGAGAGGCCATTTCGAGATCCTGAGATTGATACCCCACCAAGACCTCGTAAACAGAGCTGGTCTAGAGGCGTTGTTTACAGATGTTCCAGCGGAAAGACGAGGATAGAACTGCGGTGGAACACAAAAAGAGCATTGAGAATATCATTTCACTTGATGCTTCCCTAAGACAGTAAGTTTCTCCAAGAAAGAGCAAGAACAAGTTGCAATGCAATTCTAGAGAAGAGCCAAAGCCTTCGATAGGTCAGGATTAAGGCGAGTGGAAGACTCAAAAGGGAAGACAGTGAAGGCAAAGAGAGAAACGAGACAAAAAAGAGAGAGAAGAACTTGCTCAGGATGAAAGCAATCCGCACTGGACTTGATCAAATGGAGTTTGAAAATATCTTGAAGGCAGTGAAGGAACCAACAATGTCTTGGTTCTTCCAATATGAAGGTTCTCTGCCGAAGTAACATATCAAGGAAGAATTGACACCATTTAAAGAGAGGCAAGAACATCACCCCTTGTACAGAGAGAATGTGTTGGAGATAATCATTGGTTCCCATTGCCAGGTTACATGATGTTTGCGAGGAGAATTTGACCACATATGCAAGAACTTAATAGTTTGAAGGAAAATTGGAAGATAAGAGGCACAACATCATTAGTAAATGTACAATTTGAAAAATAAACTTGTGATATTTGCCGACAGCGCGAAATGGCATGACGCGAGACTGTGACCCAGGCCGCGTTAAGACCTAGTACGGTAAGTGAGAGGAGTTTGATTATTTCAAGAGTGTTCATTATGGACGTAGGTAGCAACAGAAGGATTCAATATCCTAAGGGAGTTAGGGCACTCATCTTCATGAATTTTTGAAACTAGATCAACCTAAGCTAGCTATTGCAGTGTTTGAGTTCAAGATGGAAAACGAGATCGATGAATGAAGTTAAGGGCATTGAAGAATACGAGCAAGATGTGTATTGACAAGATAAACTTTGAACGTCAAGTTGAACGTCAAACCATAGCTATGGTTGCGAAAATAGATATTCCAACAGAAAAGTATGAATCATCGACTTCGAAGGTCGTGTTTCAGTGTGAACAAGCAAAGACTTTGTGAATTGAGACAGAGAGCAAATCTGTGAAAGCCTGGAACATTCTTGTTAATTTTCTCGGGAAGTCTTAGGTAATTCAGCAGCTAGCCGAGCCAGCTTGTCGGAAATCAAGAGGTTCGTCATTTTGTGACATGTGCACCGGGATTTATTCCGACTTGCAATACGGAGTTGCCGGGAGACATCTGTGTTTACACAGCTTGAGCCTACATGCGGCTTAACGAGCTTCTAAGCTTCAAGCTTTCGAATATCACGTCTATCTATAGCCTGATTGAGCTTGCGATATAAGCTTTACTACCCTAATTTAGTAGAGCGGACATTAACTTTCAGAGCCTTATAGGGCCTCATAGCATACACCACCTACCAGTAGGAGAGCCTATAATCTCATCCGAAATGACCGCAACCCCCGTAACTACCAAGCTCATCGTACATAATTAGTTCATTCTAACTATGGCACGCTCGGAACTGCGCTAGCACCCCTGAGCGACACCCATCACCTGATTCGGCTAACCACTTTGGTGCTAAGCAGACCCATAAATGTGGCTGGTGATTCGCCAATCTAAATGGCTTGGCTGACATCAAGCTAATCCACCGACAACAAAAAACAACAAACCTGTTGAACTAGCTGCCGACTGTGCCCACACATCTACGAAATAGACATCGCATCGTGGATACCGTTCCTGTGCCTTGATTTAGTTGGTACCAAGATTGCAAATTCAAGCCGTGATGATGATCTTGAGAGCTTTGCGGTGAAGATCTCTCAGATCATGGATATAAGGTAAGGTACCAGAACTGGTAGGGCATAATCCTTTCCCTTCATCTCCATCTCTTCTCTCCTCTCATCCATCTCAAGATGCGTTCCTCAGTTCTCCTTACACTCGCTCTCCAAGCTACTAATGTAGTCTCTCATTCACCCAATTCCTATTCTTTCGATCCATTGGAGCATCTTGCTGGAACCGCACCACCATTCGATCCTCAGGATCCCCCTACTGATCCTGCTCCTCCTCAAGGATGCAACGTAACTCGAGCTGCATATCTTGTTCGCCATGCTGCAATCTATGCCAATGACTTCGACTACGAAGAGTACATTGAGCCTTTTGTACAGAAGCTCGCAAACATATCTGTAGACTGGGCGAGCATTCCAAGTCTTTCCTTCCTCTCAACATGGCAAGCTCCTATTACCGATCCCGAAATCGAGATGTTGACCAGATCGGGTAAATTGGAGGCCACAAACTTGGGTGTGGACATCGCGCAGAGATATCAAAGCCTGAGAACTCCAAATAAAATATGGACGTCCACCGCAGAAAGAACCGTGAAGACTGCGCAATCTTTCTCCAATGGTCTTGCAGACGATGCCTCGGATATTGAGATTGTCCAAGTATACGAAGGAAAGAACTCGAGCGCTAATTCCTTGACTCCATACAAGGCCTGCCCGGCATACAGTTCCTCAGGTGGAAGCGAGGAATCTGGCGAGTTTCAAGAAATCTACACCAAACCCGTCACCGCGCGTTTCAACAGCTTGGCTCCCGCTTTCAACTTCACATCCAACGATGTTTACGGCATGTCCCTTCTCTGCGGCTACGAAACCGTGATCCGCGGCTCCTCTCCCTTCTGCGACCTCTCCGTCCTTTCCCCTACCGACTGGCTCGGATTCGAATACACAAACGATATCCAATACTTCTACAACACCGGGTACGGACACGAAGCCTCGGGCGCCATTGGATTCCCCTGGGTCAACGCCACCTTCCACACGCTCATGACGGAACAAAACAACGCCTCCAACGCCACCACAGACCAAGATCTCTACATCTCCTTCACCCATCGCGAACTCCCGCCCACCGTCATCGTCGCCCTCGGTCTCTTCAACAACTCCGCCTACTCCGGCGCCAACAATATCAACACCACCATGCCCCTCCACACCATCAACTACAACCGCGCCTGGAAATCCAGCGCCATCCTCCCCTTCCTCACCAACGTCGCCATCGAAAAAATGGAATGCGATAGCTTTGGCTACGACGCCGGTACCTACTACAGAGTCTTGGTGAACAATAGTCCGCAGGATTTGGTGACTTGTTCCGGGGGCCCAGGAACAAGTTGCAAGGAGGAAGATGTGCAGGACTGGTTGGGCGAGAGAGCCGAAGTCGTAGGCTCTTTTGTGGATGTGTGTGGTGTGCAATATGATAATGGGACGGATGTTTTCAGTATTTATTAATTTTTATAAGTTCGCTATCTATAGCTTCGTTTCTGGGGATTGGGGGGTCATTTAATGATTAATGGAATATAATATACGTTTTTAAATACTTTCTCGTTTATCTATGTAGTGACGAGAGCCATGTAGCGGGACAGTGATATTTTTTTGGTAACACCAATAGCAACATACACTTGTGGGTGAACATCTAGTCAAAATTTATTTATAGGCATTACTTCCTAGACTGTTACATACACACATCTAGATAGCATTTCCAAGCTGTCCCACCCACCTATCCATCCATCCATCCATCCATCCATCCATCTATTCCATGCCTTCCCTCCAAACCCCAACAATAACGAGCTCCCTCCCAATCTATCCCGCCAAAAGTAATATTAGAAAAAAAAAACACCAAAATCATTCATTCATTCATTCATTACCACCCGCTCGCTAACTCTTACAAAAAAAAAAAGTCTACAGACCTCCCCCCTCATTTCCCCATTCCCCTCAACGCGAAAACCCCTTCAAAAACGCTTCTAGAACATCTCTCCTCTTCTCCTCCACCACCCTCTTATTCCTCTCTTTCACCCCCACACTCCCCTTAAAAACGATCCCTACAAACACGTCCGCAAACGCCCGATTAACTTCTCTCCTCCTCACTGCTGCCGGATCCTCCGGAAGCGGTGCTGCTCTCCCCTTCCAACTCAGCGTTCTCTTGACCGAATCGAATCCGATACGAACAGCTGTGTCGAGGGAGCGTCTTACTTTAGGTATTGGTGCTAGTTCTCCGGCTACACGGGAGAGTGTTGAAGTGAGGAAGACGAAAGAGATATTGTGATGAGGCAACGAGAGAATATCTAGTAGCCACGCTTTTGTTTCTTCGACATCCGATTGGGTATTTACTCGAGATGTGATATCGGAGTCGATTTGCTCGCATAGAGGTGCGGGAATGATGCCATCGGTGAGACTGCGCAAGAAGAGGATGAGAACTTCTGCTACGATTTCGAGTCGATGCGCGGCTGGGATTTCGACGGGAAATATGTCATATATACTTTGATCGGCGTCGAGAGCTGTTAATACTTGACTTTTCAAAGCGATTCTGGTAGGTTGATCTTTGTATCGCCAGGTCTTCTCATCGAATGGCCAACCAGGAGAGTCTCTAGGTATCATCGCCCCTTCCAACATGTTCGAATCAGCCACGACACGATCGGTGAGAGAATCGACGACTTGCGTGAGTTTAAGTAGTTCTCGAGGGGCAGACCAAGTCACTTCCTGACCTCTATTGACCGGAGGTCCTGGTTGGCCTCTTGGACGGGGTAATAAAGCTCGCACACCACCTTCTGGTATATGAATGAGCTCTTCAATAGATCGTCCTAAACAAGATTGAAGCCAGTTTCCCTTGATTGGAATAAAATGATCTCTTCCATCTGTAACTCGTAATACCAATACGTCTTCGAGTAGGACCTCCCCATTATTCAATGACTTTACAGAGGAAGGATCGTGCACTAAAACCTCGAGTGTGACATTGATTGCATCCCCAGGTTCCAGTGTAACCTCTCGTTTAAGATCTTGTAGGGCTCTATCATCTTCATCCATAGAAAATCCTGCAAACCACACACTAAGCCACGACGGTGCAATTCTGTCTTCTTGGCCTTCAACACCAGGTCTATCAACGAACGCAAATGTAGACGTGACTTGACTCGTGTTTGCAATTGTGACGTTTCTAGATTTTCGGTGTTCGAATTCCACATCACCAAAATCAACAGCTCCATTTCCGTCATTGGAATTCTTGCGAGATTTATCATTTTGATGACTTTCTTCTGTATTCTGTGAATGATCTATAACAATGGTTATTCCAGGGCGAGCTTCATTCTCCGCTCGATCAAGGTCTCTAGCAACCTCTTGCTGTACTTTTGACTTTAGTTCGGGCACGACCGCGTCATATTCCAAGGTAAAGACAGCATCGAGTGGTTTGTGATCTGATGAGAGAACTCGTTGATGTGAGGTATAAATATCCAAATTTATTCGATCCACAAATCCATCCCTAGTTATTACTGGTGCATTTTCATTGTCCTCAGTTTCATCGTAGTCGTCATATTCATCATAATCATCGCTGTTGGAAGGCGTGGTCTGTTGCTCCCCATCTTCATCGGGATCATAGCTAAAAAGGACATCTTCATCGTCGGTGGCATGATCCATTCCTTGAGCCCTCATTTCTTCATCTTTTATTCTTGCCAATGACTCTTCATTCATCTTGGCATCAAACACCAATTTGTCTCTTCGTGTTCTGAATAGAATTCTATCACACCAACTTGGAGCCCTCTTCTTCTCACTAGAATCGAAAATTCCCATGCTCCCTACATCGTATTTGTATGTTGGAAGGAATGTTACTGGCCCTTCTCTCCAGCCGTCGTGAAACGCCCTTCGAGCTTTCTGCACATGCCTCAATTGGTCATGTGGTAATAGTGAATCAATGGTAGCTTGTAATGAGGCAGGATCTTGGCTTGGATCTTGTATAAAATCGTCTGGATCCGGAAGCGTGGTCACAGTAGAAGAATCGTCGTTCGGGTCAAACGTGCTACTGCTTTTACGAAAGTCTTCCTCGGATTCGTCATCACTATCAATGGACCTTATTACAATCGGTCCGTCACCAGCATCAATCTCGTTATCAATCTTCTTTCTTGATCGCGACCCAATGTCATATTCTCCCTTCGTATGAAGCATTAACAATCGTCGAATATCGTCTCCCGGTAACCCCTCCAATCTGAAGTTTAGATCTCCAAACCAGAAAGCAAAATCTTCGTCCCCGATGCTCTCCTGGGCATCATCTAGAACCCCACCTCGGCTTATAGGGTCGAAATGCGTTCTTTGCAATATTTGCGAGACATCCCAAATTCGCCTCTCCAAATGCGCTTTATCCGTTCCCGAAGCCAAATGTGAATTTACGAATACAAGTCGAGTTGTTTCTCCCAGCATTATCCTAGTAGTGATTGCGCCTTTGTTCCCTAGATATCCCATGAATCCAGTCCCAATACTCACGGTACTGACAGAACTTATCGTAGGTGCAACAGTTGGGGATGCGTAGATGAACATGAGTAGACCAGAGAGCTGTTGTTCGGCCACTAAAGTGTAACCTTCTGGTAAAGCCCCAGAAAGTGCTTTCCTCCATATTGTTACAGGATTATCGTTCGAATAGACCTTGCCAATATATTCCTTCGCAGACGTGAGCTGAACAACTTCTTGTAATCCCAAAACATATAATCCGACATCTTCTCCGCCAGCAATTATACCTTCATCGCCAAGCGGGATTGTCGACTCTTTCTTCTTCCTCCTTGATTCTTGTTCCTCGACGCTTTCTATATTCGATTGACTATTCTCCTTCTCAATCGCATTGGCAATATCAAGCCCAGCTAGTCGTTTGTCAATCCCTTTGCCTTGGACAAACCAACCTGCGAGATCTTTCTCGGTTCCAGGACAAGCAGCAACATTCCAGCAACCAATCTTTATTTTGATTTTATGCGGTCGAGTATATTCGTTTCGTCGCGCATAGACGGCTTTCGAGAGGGATTGTGGACTGGAGGTCATGGGCAATTCGACTTCGACAGGCTCCTCATCTATCGAATCTCTCGTGTTCGAGGCCATCTTTGAGGATTTACAACGGTTCGTTCGGTGATAAAAGTCAAATCAAAATTTCATAACATGTTGATTTTGCGCGGCCTATTTCTCATTTACTCTTTCTCGAAGGTCGTGCTCGAATTTCTTCTTCGTCGGTGTCTTGCTTTTTCCTTTTGTTCTTTAAATACCCGGGATTGAATGACGTAGGCTGAAAGCTCACCGGGGGTGGGATTTCAAGTAGAAAATAAAAGAGCGTTTACGATGTAGTGATTGAAGGCAAAACGGATTTGCAGTGAGAATAGCAGAAAGGTGTGTGAGTAGGTAGGTATTCAAGTCAATGAATGAGTGTGTGAGAGAACGAATGCCAGCCAGTTGATGTAATGTAATCATGTAAAGAATAAAAGAATAAGAGTAAATAAATTAAACCAATAACTACATGACTACCCAACTACCCAACTATCTTGGTATACTTTTCTATTCTTGTACGGACCGAAGCTAAAGTCATTGTAATTGTGGTACTAACGGGTCGTTCTAGAAGTAATAAAAGCCCCCGGTATTCAGGTGCTCAGGTGTCCAGTCCAGTCATCATCACATTCAAAACGTACCGGCCACCAGGCTAGCAAGGTACATTTCACATTTCACATTTCCCCCTCTATTACCGCGAGGCTGAATTCCTTCTTTCTTTATGACAATACAGACCTACATCTTCCCGTCCCATAACACGAAAAACGTCATTCACACTACGGCCATTCTTTGCATTACGAACGCCGATTCGAAACCGTATTCAGTAACCTTACTTCATACCAGTTAGATCAGCTTGTCCATCTACCCATCTACTGCCTCGCAACATCACATCACCACTTGCGCAGCAACAAATCCACGACATCAATCACTTATCTACCAACAAACGGTAGACTTTCATAGAATAGCTACATCCTTGACCTATAATCTACCACATCTCAAGTCTCCTACCCTCGCATAAATCAAAACCGTCAAAATGACGCCTCGAAAGCCTCGTCAGCGTCAAAATCATCCAGGTCCCTCTCAGTTAAGCCAAGTTCAAGCTTCCGACTATGATACCGAGACTCCAATACTAGGTCCCGCACCTCCTACTCGTACCAACGAAGAACTCAATCTATCCGTCCTCAGGCGCTATCATCCATCCATCCAAAAGATCACTTCACTCGCCGCATCTGCCACCATGTACATGTTTTCTCTAGAGTCAAAAACTTGGGAGAAACTTCCTATCGAAGGTACATTGTTCGTCTGCGAGCTTTTACCTTCCCCCACCACCGGCGCTGAAGACCACTGCATTGTGGTTCTCAATCGCAAGGGCCTTAATAATATCATTCACGATTTCAGCGAAATGAATGATGTGGAGATTAATGGGGAGTATTTATATTGGACAGTTGAAAAGTCAGAGACGGTCGGAGGTACTCCTGTTGCGAAGGCTTATGGTATATACATTCATGATGATGAGACGGGTACGAGAGTTGCGAATCAATCAGAAATTCTCAAGAATTGGAAGAAGACACAAGCTACCATGCTTGACGTGCAAACGATGGAGAGTATGGTAGAGAACCATGGAAATGCAGAATCCCAAGAACCTCAGACCCAAATTCCAACCAGCCAAGTAGAAGCCCAGGGAGGCAGGAGATTGAGTATAACAGATTTATTTGGTGCTCGTTGAACGATTTCAGCAAGATAGCTATCTGGAAAAATGTTATTCGCTACATTCAGAACCGGGTACTAAATGGGGAAACATGATATTTCGCCTATTTATACCACACTAATAGCTCCGAATGATCTGTCAGAGATCACAGAGTTTTACATCTTGTGTTGCTCCATGGCTGGCATCAAAAATGATCGTTGCTGTCGAGCCGTGGTAAAATGAGAAGAACAGCAAAGGCGGGCATTAGGAAGAGTCATAGCAAGATGGTAACCAACATAAGATCCAAAGGTCTGAGGAAGGTCGTTCGTACGAAGGATTCTACAAATGTCTGTAGTGACCCATCAATGTAGCACGGGCTTATGAAGAGGCCAATGGCATTTCATCATTTGTGTGCTTTTTCAATCTTGTCCCTTTGCAAGAACATTTCAGCAATATCTTAATTTTGTTGTAAGTACAAACGTGATGTTTTGGCAGCCTTTTAAAATAATGAGTGACATCCATCCACTGGGTTTGCCATTCATAGTCATCAAATTTGTCGTATAAATTGAACACAATGTCAAGCTTAGTCACACAACAACGCTGAACCACATTGCTCGAGGATGATATTTGCAAGTTCGTGCAAATCTTACAAAGAGATCATTGATATATGTATACTACGATGATTGCTTCATCGACGTTTATTCACTTTGCCCTGAGCATCACGGTTAGGGAGTACTTGAAAGGCAATATTCTATAGTATGCCTTACGAAAACTATCTTCTCCCAAATATATACACGTTTCGTCGGTACCTATATACGGCTCAAAACATCCCTATCAAGAACCCAACAAAGATTCTTCCAAGTCTAACCACTTCTGAACCAACATCACAAGTTCTTTCCGAAAGTCAGAAGTGCCCAGCCACGTTTTTCGTGAGTTTGGCAAAATGGCCGATATACAGTCTGGAAGAAACCAGTGATTAAACATATTGTGCATCCTACTCAGACCACTTAGACCGGAAAGTTCTCCAATGGTAGGGAGATTTGGTTTGTTCCTCATTTGCCAAAGATCCCATTCTTTGTATGCTAGTAGGATGAGCGTGGCTAGGATACAGAGGAAAATAAACTGAAGTGTCAGAAAAGTGTAATTGAGAAAAGATTGAATTCGAGAAGACTGGCGAGATTTGAGACTTTGGACGATTTGTCGTATTGCATCATCCTCAGTACGTGATCTTTTCCGTTTCGCAGAAGAGGATGGTGATTCCAATGCCTCATGCGCATCATACCACACCTCTCCCAACCCTTCATCCTCATTCTCCCCGCCCCTAGATCCCTCCACATGATCCGCCGCCGTCAAAACATCCATAAAAACATCCTCCAAATAAACCCCCGCACACAATTCAAAATGATTGCACCTCCCCTCCCCCCACCACATATCCCTCACCGCATCCTCCCACCCCACCAACCGATGCGCAACCAATCCCTCCTCCTCCCCCATCTGATCCCACCTCACCGCATACTCCTCCCTACACTCCACCCTCGGAAACACACTACTAAACGCCCACTTATTCCTCACCAGAAACTCTCCCACCCATCGCGGTCCTCCCAGTAACAACACCCCGGCTGCGACACCGCAGCAGATATCGTCTGCAGATACTCGGTTTGATAGTCGCAGCTGAAATCGAGATGGTGTCGCTCGAGTGAATAGTCGATTACGTGCAGCCATTCGAATTCGCGGTTCGCGTGCGCGGCTAGGTGTGTTTTGCCGATGCCGGAGAAGCCGAGGATGATTTTTGCGCGTTGGGGGGAGAGCGGGAGTGAGGGGCTAGGGGTAGCGAGGTGGAGGAGTGGGTGTATTTGGATGGGGGAGATGGAGTTGTAGGGGTTGCTGTTGTTGTTGCTGTTTGTCTCGCCATCCGGAATTATTGGTGTGGGAGAATGGTTTTGCGAAGGTAGATTCATAGTTGAAGGATTGTGTAGAGGGGAAGATTTCATAGAATTCCTATTTTATTTTCCAAGGTCTTTTTTTCTTTTCCTTTTTCTTCTTTTGTCTTCGTACGTATTTTTGACGGTTTGCATCAACAAACCATCGTTCTCATCATCAATTCTCTCGATATCTAAGAAATCGATGCAAATAGATACACTACCCGAATCTAATCTGCAAACATGAAAAAGAAACTCCAAGGAATAGTTAATCAATCGCGTCTTGCCTATTCCGTCCAAGTAGGAAAAGGAAAAAAATATTTGGGTGTGGCTGGCAACATTCCGAAAGCGTCGCTTAGATTAGGGGATGTGGGCGTCTTTAATTATTCCGAGAATTTCTTCGTGGAGAACTTTGAAATTATGAATATTTGGATTTGTTAATGGCAAATCAAAATCAAAATCAAAATCAAAATCAAAATTAAGTAGGATATAGCAAATAATTCATCTGTAAATACCTACCTACCTACCCAATAATATACCAAATACTCACAGCCAGTTCTCTAATTTCCCCACCATCCAATCCACTCTGCAACAGCCACTATACATACCTATATCTACTACTATTTATGAATCCTCATTTTTTAAGAAAAAAATACAAAAATTCATCTGAGAATCTACACCGAACTCTCAATCCCAATGCATACCTATTTGAATACCTACACGATGTAACAATCAATCTCCCTACCTATATATCCAGCACCGAGGAACGAGGAGTCTATATTACTTATTACTAGCTCTGATTTTTGTGGTGTGTATTTGTAAGTGAGATTGAGATTTATGCGTAAGGTGATGTGATGTGATGTAATATGATGTGATATGATGTGATATGCGTATCTGCAAGGTTTCTAATAGATACTAGGTAGGTAAGATAAGTGTTTATATTTTCGATGGAGTGGGGATTGTTGATGTTGATTATGATGATGATGTGTATGTGTATGTGTGGTTGATGTATATGTATATTTATATGTATCTATTGAGATTTGTGAGGGTGTTTAATATGTGAAGATTTTGGGGGGGGGGGGGGGGGGGTTCGGGGGATGGGGTGGGTTGTTGAGTTATTTCATGTTGTATATATGGATGTATATATATGTATGGATGTAGGATGTAGGATGTAGTATGTGAGAATAAGCAGCTTCTGAACATCGGAGACGCTTTGATTGGCGAGAGGGCGGTGGAGTGTATGTGGTGATACTATCAATTGGAAGATTGGTAGGAGTGAATGGAGATCGGGGTAAGCTCAGTGTTTGTTTGGTTCTTCATTCTTTAGTGTTTATTGGCTTTTTATCTGATAGATACTTTGTCGTACATCTGTATGTAGATATGTAGCTACATACTTCATTCTAGATGTGGAAGCTTGTTGCTTCGGGCCCGAGTAGGGTTGCATGGAGTCTTGCAGGGTAAGCATCTTGCATGGGCGCGACTCGAGTCGTTGTATTTCTGAGATTGGATGGTGTTGTGATGAGCAAAGTAGCTTCTAGAGAATAGGAATTACATGGTGCAATTGTGTAATTATATAGTTTGCAGAGTTGAAAATGTTGGTGCAGATGTATTGATATATGACCTAGTGATTAGATATTTGTCTTCATTTGAAGATGGGAAATCGTAATCTGTCTAGTAATTAAGTGTAAGCATCTTCATTGAGTAATAGAAAGGTCCTCGCAATATCCATGACAGTGACTTGACTGATAATCTCAACATGAGATGACAAGAGATATCTTCATAAATCCCACAAAATTCATCTCCTAAACCAAACCAAACCAAACCACATTAAAAGGGGCACTCTCGCTTCGCTCTCTCATCTTCATCCTCATCCTACCCATTTCGCCATCCACAAGTTACAACCTTCCAAATGCCCATCCAACAACCTTACTCATCAACCTACCCATGTTCTCTCCCTGTTCCCTATGCATCTCCGCCACCATCAAACACGAGAATTCCACGCATCTCCATCCGCCGCGGCAGATAAACAACAATCCCATTCAACCCCCCACGGTCATCGATCCACCACACAACAAATCACATACCAGAAAACACTATCCACAAGATCTCCGACACAACCCCAACTTTCCACTTCCATGCATTTCCTACTACCATTCTCATTTTGGCGACACCAATGTTCTATTTGTAGCCATTTTTCCGTTCTCAAAAATCATTGGTTCTCGACTCCGAATATCCCAAAACACATCTGCGAATCAGATAAAGTAGCGGGGTCATCATATCTACGTCAGCAAGCAGGTATCCTGACTCAGCTTCCAATCATCTACTTTCGACCCTGGGGAATGCAAGCTTGGGGATTGGGAGGTATGCTTGTGACGGTTGTTTCTGATGGCGAATGCAAGGCTGATGTGATCCGATTCTTACGTCGGATGGGGACTGTCTGGAAGCTTCTGGAATGGAAATTCGACTCGATTCAACGGGTCTTGGACCAGAAGAAATATGATTAGGGAGTGTTCGAGTGGGGTTTGGTATTCTTATTGTTCTTATTGGGTGAGCTCTAGATGAAGTTTGAATAGACATTTTTTATGGTTGCTTTTATCTCCTTTCCGTTGGATACTAGAGGAAGTGGCGACGTATTTCATAAGAAATGCATGATAAAAGGTGTAAATTCCATTGTGAATCTAAATCGCTTTTTTAAAAGTATAACCCCCAATCATATCCCAGTCCCTCAATCCATAAATGCATGTCGCCGTTAAAGTGCCTAACCAGTTCGCACTGGTAATGTAAAAATCTAAAACTGTAAAACAACCATAACATAATACATCACTCATCCAACATAGTAAATGCCCAATGTGTTGACCAGCAACACTGACGATACAATGATCCAGACCATATCTCATGCAAAATCCCAATGCCAAATCTATGCCAGTTCCAAAAGAAATCCCATACCCAGAACCCCAAGCCTTCCAACTTCCATTTTCAAAAGAAGACTATGCACCAAACAAGTTCATAATCCAATAATTGATAACAAGTTGTACATTTCGAGATATATATCAAGATCTGTAAAACCTCGACCGGATGTTTTGCCGAAATTCAAATCCGCGACACAACACTACAACAGTAACCGCGAGAATCAGGTCAGAAGTTTCATGCTAGTGAGACGACGAATGCAAATTGCAGGTGTATCCGACGAGTATTGTTCTTTCTTCAACATAATGCCCCGGTGTTCCGTACGCGGGACACATATCGATCGCGTGGGTGTAGTAGATACATCTGCAAACAGAATAACGTTCGACGAGTACGTAGCACATAATCTCAGGTTTGTGGCTCAATGATAATTGCGATGTTGAGGTGAGGCAGATGAAGGATTTATGAAGTATACTGGCGATATTGATCGAATTGTCAAGGTTATCGAGAGGTGTAATCTGAAAAGGGGATTGAAGAGGGTACGATCTGCAATTTTTAGGGGAGATGACTTTCGTCGATCATTGGCATCTTATATAGCATGATTCTGCATCAGTCAACACAAATTCAGCAAGAGAGAAGGGTGCCTTGGGAAACAATGATCCTTCAAGTCTTCGCCTCATTATTGTAGCTGAAGACTAAGGTTGCCATGACTATGATGACTTCCACCGTTATAGAGGTGACTCTTACGATATACGAGTGTTGAATCTCCGCAAGTAATTAGGTCTCTTCTAGGCTCCATGATAAAGAGCCGAGGTATGATGTCGAACAATGGATGTAGTTCCCAAGAGTTCAGATGAATCTGAGGGGATCTGTTGAGAGGAACACAAAACCGTTGACCGATTTCAGGGGAGTCGCATGGCTTTAGAGGCTGAGTCACTTTTCATTCAGGTCAGGCACAGTAATGCCTTTATAGACGTTCAACACAAAGCTTCCCATTGGAACAAATTCGATATATGCGTCGCACCGCATGGAATTTTAGTCATGTGTTTTGGAGTTCCTGGTGGAGATGCACAGCTGCAGCCCTATGGTAGGGCTGCAGAGTTCGTGTGCTTGGTATACATTACACTTTCGGCCCTTCTATAGGTTCTCAACCAGACTTTACTATTGGAGGTATTCTTTAAACGTTATATGGTGCCTGAAATATGCGGTCAGCAAATTGTTCCACTTGCCTGCAATTCTCTCGACATAGTGTTTATCATTGCCTGTTTCAATCACCTCCAATTCTTGTACTCGGAATCGCCGTCACGATTCATGCAGGGTTTGCATTTCCGAGCTTGATTTGTTTGGTTAAAATGTAGCTGGTACCCGTAATGACTCCTGAGAGATGATAGTTTGCATCCAGGGTCACTCTTTTCCGCCGAGACCCTGCGTTGTATAAGCTACTGGTACGCGCCGAAGACCCAAGTCCGCACCTTTAGTGCTCTTCAACGTACTGATGAAGAAGTCTCACAGGTTGAGTGTACGACCTAGTATATTTCCGATGCATCTATCGTTGAGGCTTAGACCCCATGGATTTCAGAATCAGGTTATACCGGATGGATCTTTCGACCAAAACCCACGAATTGCAGTACTTTTCTCTAAAGGCGGTGACTTGGCGCTGGTAGATGAAGAAAAGGTGAGCGTAACGGTGAGTAGCGATCATGCGCAAGAGGTGGTGTAGATGTAATACGACATCACCTCTGCAGAGACTCATGCAACTTCAGGGGTGTTACATCAGCTTTACCAATAATGAGTATGACATATCTAGCGCAGCTAAATAGTTTCGCCAGTATTGATTCCATTGGGATCTATACATGTTGAATTGAAACCTTATAGAAATAGTTCTCTGCCTTGTTTTGCGAAATCAAGGGTCTCAATCGCATGCTATGGCTGTAAAACACACTTGTTTTGTCATATAAATGTACCAAATCTGATTGGGACCCGAACGTTGCGTTGCCCATCATGCAAGCATGCACCAGAGTGACAGCTCGAATAAGCTTAAGCAGCATAGGATCTAGATGTTTCCGACGAAATCGGATAACTTCATGGAGGATTCGAGGAAGTAGAAAGAATCATAAGTCAAGCCCATTTGAATCAGGCCGCTTTCTCATGCTCTCAACCTATACTTGAATAGAATAGCATTATGAGAAACTCTGGTCAGCCCTGCCACGTGGAAAGTTCAGAGGGAGCCGACTGCCTGAAGGGAGGTCGTATTCGTGTAGCTTTGATCTACCTGAAAGGTGGTTGTGCTACCCCGGATAACAGAGATGTCAAGTAGATGAACCGGCGGGGTGATGTATTGACATCACTCTCTCAAGGCAAGGCAAATCGCAGTAGCAACAAATTGATGATTTACAGCCATGTTGTCCAATCTTAAGCCATTTCCCAATGCGCCGCGTGAGGTACTTTTTCTGTCCGTTACATGAATGTCGGTGAGCTTCAGGCGTTCTAAAAGGGAAGGTGACACCCTAGGGACTCTTCTACAATTGGGTTACCTCATGTGTATTAAATCACGTGATGTATCGCCCGTCTCATATTTCGGTACGTGCGACGTCTACCGACAATTGGATACCATCTCATCTTCTCGAAAAGTTCAACTGCCTATGAGCATCTATCCAGGTATTATCTGATCACCTGCATCCGCAGATATCGTTCTTCATCATGTCATCAAAACCCTTCATCTCGAATTGCATAGCAGTATGTTGAAAAATCAGCAGTTGTGAGAAATATGCCATGCAGTGATGTGGTTGATGGCAAAACATGTTCTTCTAACGGAAGATGTCCTGAGATAATTGCTTCATGAATGCAAACATGTTTGAAGGTTTATTTGTAGCATCTTCTCACATTCGAGCTGTTGCAACAAGTGGTATATCAATCTGCGCGTAAGTGCTGCGCAGTCGAAGTCGTGCATCAATATCAATACCGAAGGTTATTCTAGACCTTTTGATTCACTAGTCATCGAGAGGGAGATCTCATTTCTGTTGCACAGCCCGCGAATAGTCTTGCGAGTTATGTTGGTTTATCAAAGTGAAATTCGCTGAATCGTTATTCCCAACAGTGAGGATTCAGAGTTTGATTGGTAAATCGTATTCACTTCTCTATTTAATGAGAGCAACGCGTATGCTGATGGCACAGTTGCATTGTTATTCACCATACGCCTCAATGAGCTGGCACTACTCAAATGGATTGTTTTCCTTTTGTATGGGTTTTTCTGATCGGATCAATAAGGTTGTAAGCCACCGCTCCAAATAAAGCAATATTCTCATTTCGCTTCATCGCTGTGCCACTTAAAGGAAGCACGTTACCTAATCAGTCCAGCATATTTCAACTCCGCCTTGGGTTTGTAGTTTCAAAAAAGAATAGGAAGACGAAGATAATAAGCACTGCTTATAATTGTTTTCGTGAGCCATACCCTCTGCTTGTCTTGATCTCTTTCTCTTTTCTTCTCCGCCTTGTTTCTACACAAAATCAATCTCAATTTTTCTGAAATGTTTTCGAAAAATCTTAGACTAAGGCTACTGACCTTGGTATCAACGAGTGTCTTGTTAAACTCAGTAACAGCGGCGACAGTAGATGGCTGTGGAGCAGTTTCGAATGTCATCAAGTCACATACTCATGGTCATCCAACAGGTAAAACAAATTTCGTATACTTACAAGTGGTGACTAATGTGATCATCTAGCAAACACCCAAAGATTTAACGCTTCCATTGCTCTTCAATGCCTTCAATCCGTACCTCTGGATGTACAGCGCTCATCAGATTTTGTTGATTATATAGAGCCATTCTGGCAGTTCCAGAGTACTCTCGCCTATCTCAAAGACCCTCCATCAGGCTACCCGTTACCTGGCGCTGATATGCTAGGAGGTCTAGCTGAGATTAAAGAAAACGTCAATTCAGGATATTATGGAAATCAATGGGAGTTTGAAAAGGATCTTCATTCTCTGGGAAACATATTGCCTCATGATTTCCACGTCAACTTACCGCTTCCCCTGATGAGCGTTTTCTCCTTTTCTACTGCAGATGGACCATTGGTATCGATATCATCCGACGGCTTGGCCATGCCGGAGCTATATTTTAAATGTACGTACAGGTTTCTCAATTTAATCGATCGTTGTCTAAGAGCTAACCTTGCATAGATGACCTTGACAAGCAGAACAACATGACACTATCCAAAACAGGTAATTGGACAGCATCACCACTGGTCAAAGTCAATGACCTGAATGCCACTTTATATCTTGAATTTCTCAGTCAGAGCACAAGTGCTTATCAAGACAACGATGCCAACTACAATAAAATGTTTTATTCGTTACCGAATCTGGCTTTTTCCGGAGGCAGCGGAATGTTTACGTCTGGAGCATATATTTATGGATTTTCGGCCGATGTTATTCAATATACTTTCGCCAATGGAACCAGCACAAGCGCCGAAATTTATGCATCAACAAACCTCAATTTCACATCCATATCATCGGGACAAGATCTATTCAACGCTGTAGATCTACCGGAATCAGAAGCAGCATCTTCGAGTTCATCGGCCTCAGACAGTCAACAGAGCACCAAAACTAAGACAGCAGCAAGATCAATTACATCACTTACCGGCTATCCCCAACCAATCGTCATGCATCCGGACGGGTATACAAGCGGTTACTTTTTCGAAGATACCATGACTGCAGTTTTAGTAATGCAGGGGTTCAACGACCCTTATCAAAAAGATGGAAAAGCAGCAGTCGAACAACAAAGAGTGATCAGTGAGTTCTTAGCTGAATGCCAGAAGGCCAAAATGGAATACTTGATCGTAGACGTACAAACAAATGGAGGCGGTTATCTGTTCAGCGGATATGATGCTTTTAAACAGATCTTCCCATCTTTAGTTCCATTTGGAGCATCACGATACCGAGCCACCCCGCTGGTAAATTATATGGGTACCATATTCACTGGTGCCGGAAAATACGATAACAGTCATGATTACCTTTTTCAGACACAATCAGAACTTGATGGCAATGGACAACCATTTCAAAGTTGGAATCAGGAAGCCCCTAACACGCCAATCTATGGTGATAACTTCACTGCGGAACTTCGTTACAACCTTTCCGATCACGTTACGATGGTGAGCCGTTCCCTCAACCGTAACTAACTTCATGCTAACTACTTCCATAGACCCAAGCAGGAGGCATTAATATCACAGGTTACCTAGACGAGAGCAACCCTCCCCCAGCGGTCTTCAATGCTTCGAACATTGTGATGCTTATGGATGGCGGTTGCGGCTCCACCTGTGCTCTCTTCGCCGAGATGATGAAAGCTCAAGGTGGTGTGCGAAGTGGTACGTTAATCATCTACTTGAATTTGTTCTTCCCGCTAACAATTCTTTAGTTGCCGTCGGAGGTCGCCCACAGCCAGGTCCTCAACAAGGAGTTTGCGGTTCCAAAGGCGCTCAAGTACTGACCTACAATAGCGTCGCATCTCATCTTGAAGCTCTACCAGACGCACAAGCAGCCTATCTTCAAAAAGGACTCGAAATGCCCGACTACCCAGCTCCCGAATACATCCCTAACATCAAAGCCAACGTATCCCTCGGATCTACATCAAGACTGATGTCCGGTGGTCGTTTCAACCTTCGAAATAACATGCACGACGACGATGAAACATTCACACCCCTACAATTCCAATACGAAGCTGCTAATTGTCGTTTATTCTATACTAAAAATGATATCTATGATATTACCGGTTTATGGATGAGAGTTCAATCGGTAGTATGGGGAGGTCAGCCTTGTGTTTCCGGTAGCACTATCACCGACGATGATACAATGCCCTCTGGCGCCTACGACACCGTACCATTTGGCGATTCTGCATTACCGAATATTGAATTGCCAGCTCAGCCGGGCTTGGTACCTGTTGGGAAGGGAGTCAAGAGTTGGGCTAGCGAGAGTGGAAACCGAGAAGAGAGTGCGCAGAAAGCTTTTGTGGGAGCCATTTGGAATGGATTGCTGTGATTCTTGAGGGAGTGCATGGAATGGGGGGTTTTGAAATGAGAACACGTTGGTCTGCGTTATGGGTGTTGGTAAATGCATATGCGGGGCGTTTTTGGGAAGATTGACCATGGATAGAGGGCAATTGATTAATAATATTGCATTGGATGTATCCAGCGAAGGGCGTGGGGAGTAATAACATCACGCGTAGTGGTGTGAATTTATGATACGAATTAATCAAGACTGTTTTTCTATGATGTCTGTTGAGCTCGTGTTTCCCTTGTCTCGGATAATAATGATCGAGTAAAGCGTTCTGCAATGCAATACATACAGCTCACCAGCAAGGATTGATATATTTGTGAAGTATATCGCTGTGATGCTTCCCAGCTAGGAGCTAGATCCGTCTCTTATTTATTCAATTTCAGGTTTCAAGCTAGACTATTGCAGAGCTGTATATGTATAAAACGACATGTTCATTCGCGCTTTTGAATCGCCATTGAATCAGCCCACCCTCGGGTATATCCTTAAAACGCCAATATCAACCTCACGAATTGTGCTTCTAATGTCGAGTTTACGTTCCCTCATCCATCACATCTCCGTCTCCGTCTCCCTCTCCCTCTCCGGTTTCTGGTGGCGCAGCATGACTCTCAAACATCCCTACAACCTTCTCCAAATCCTCTACTTCTCCGTTCCCGAGTTTCCTTCCCTCGCCCTGCCATTCTCCATCTCTCACTTCACCTTGCGAACCTAGCTCCAAGCCTCGCACGTTTTCAAGATGTCGTCTCGTTTCCTTTTCAATGAATTCCAATCTTTCTCTTCTCCAACTCTTCTCTTGTTCTCCCACCATTCCCGCCATGCCATCGCCTTCCGATAACTCTTTCAGCCTTGGTCCTAAATTATCCAGTAACTGTTTAAGCGCAGGCAATTGCGCCAATGCGAATTCGGTCGTAGTTGCAATAGGATGTTTTCCATCTTTCGTCAAATTACCCTTCTTCTGCAAGAATGCCAAAGAGGGTCGCTCATCATCCTCAACATCGACTTCCATCTCCGTGCCATCCTCAGCCTTAACAGTTTTCTTAGCCGAACTTTGACTTGGCGATATGATTCCTTTCAACGCCGCAATAGTTCTCTCATTCCTCTCCTTCTCTGCCCTCAGCACCGCATTCAATTTCATCGTCTCCCTCAACCTCTTCCTCTGCAGCGTAACCGTTTCCGACGTGGGCACTCCATCTGCCCCCGCTCCATTTTCTTCCACACTCCTGAAATCCAATCCTTCATAATGGCTCAATCGGATCCAATCCCTGACATCCGGCGGCACAGCAAAAACGTTTCTCAGCAAATAAATTTCCATCTTATCGAAATTCTTATCAATCTTCGCGTTGAGCAATGTTTCGAGCTTGTAGACTCCGTTCTCGATTTCGTGCTGGCATTGTGTTGCGACTTCTTCGGCGGAGAGAGTGGAAGTGGGTGTGAAGCCGATTGAAGAGGGAGGAGCGGCGAAAAGACCTTTTTCGAGCGCATCGATGGCTCGGAATGCGAGGAGATTGATACTGTTTATTATGTCGTCGATGACGGCCTGCGAGGGTGTCAGAGACGGACAATATTTCAATCGGGCAGTATCGGTATAATCATATCTCAATAACTTACAATTGGTCTGTATGTCAAATGCTCCGTGAGGAGAGCAGTGTCTGCGGCACTCATGGTTGTGGTAGATATTAGTTTGCGCCGGTGAGGAAAAGACAACAATGGCTAGTTCGGATATTCAAATAAGCCGCGAAGAATGTTAGAGAATTCGAAGATAAATAGTACAGACAATTAATCAAGTAATGCCACAAGTAGAGAAGGGTAATTCTACTGCGCGGGAAAACCTTGTAGAATTGATGTTGAAGATGTTGACAGAGAATTGCGGGGGACGCGTTTGGCAGGGATACATTTTAGCGCGATTTCGAGTCCGGTACTGTGCGTGTGTGCTTGCGCTCCCGGTGAACTCATTCGCACCTCCCCGGTGACCCCTCAAATTTGGCGAGATCATTTCCTTAGTACAGCTAATGGCAAAACTCAATTATGACTACGTATTCAATTTTTAATTCTTTGGAGAAACTTAAACGCAAACAGATAGATCTTCGAGGAAGGGAAAGGAGAGACATTCAAACCATTGATCAAAATGTGTGGTATCCAGGCACAATCATAACCATAAAACATAACGATCGTGTGCATATACCCCGGGTTGATCTGCTCAGCATAAACCCAAATACGCAAAGGTAGTAAAATCCCCACAATATTTAGGGTCAACTTTCCCATGGCCCTTTGAATCTGGAGTATTGGTTGATGATGATCCGGCACCAACAGTCATTGTAGCTACAACAACCAAGCAAAAAGTACACGGGTCGGGGATGTACAAGATATCATTGCCCTCTGTCACAGTGTCGTCACGAGCTATCAATGGGGTAGCTATTGCGTCTGTGATTGTGGTGGTGGGGAACCCATTCGCGAACGAAGGTGTCTCCGACGCATATAAAGCTCGAGGTTCGATGCTTGCAGTGCTAGAATACTCACTACAGCTAGTTCTCCATATTGTGCAAGTCGAATCTCTACGTTCGATGAAACCGGTGGTAGTATGAGTAGTAGGCAGGCCAGAGTTAAGCTTCAACACATCATTATTGAGACTGTTTGGAATATTTCTCCCATGTGTGATTGCAAGGAGTAATGCGAGGAGAAAGGTTGCGACCTGAAAGAAGCGGCACATCTTGAAAGATAGGGGGCGGTGGGTGATCAGGTGATCGTGCTGAGTGTGATGCTAATTCAAGGAGTATATTGTAAGGAGTCGAAAGAAAAGAGAAGTCTGGCTTAGAGACTATGAACTCACAACGTTTTATATACTTTCCATAGAGTAACAACTGGTATTAAGAGCAATCGAGCCACAGTTTTGGGAGCCCATACGTATCTTTTCCATAATCATAGATACTGTTGTTGGCAACCATGACAACAGCTGTTACAAAGGAGGGCTAGAATAAGACGATCAAGTTCCCATGTATATGGCAACCAACAACATCTAAAATTGCTGTACTGATACCAATTGTAAGAGCATATCCAGTTGATGCGTCTCTTCCAACCCGGTCGACCTTTTTGCGGCCGGATAGTTACTCAAATCCGAAAACACCTGGTAACAAACCACTCCAACATTTGAAATCAGACCAATCCGATAGCCACAGCGAAAGTTTATTTGGCAAAATGGGTATTGTTAAGCCATACCATAGTCATCTGATTGTGCATTTGTAATGCTGCGCTTTCGTTATCTACTCCGTACATATAGGTATACGACTGTTTGTCTAATTTTGTCCAAGACACTGTCTTGTGCGGACAGATTTTCCGAGTGTTCGTACAATCTACAAAACTCAAAAAAGGGGACCAAGATTGATTAGATTATAGATGACGGTGAGTATAATTTCCAAGACCGTACGACGATAATGTTATAGACGACACCATCTTATTTCTAGGAGATTGGACTAATTTCCTGAACTTTGGTGTCGAATCAATGGGCAAGTGTTTGGCAATGAGAAGTTTGCCCGATGAATTGGATAGTCACCATGGATCTCACATTGGCATAATAGTCATCGTTTACGAATCTACAGCATAGATTGAAGATTGAAGAATGAATGACATGATGTGGAAGAGGTACTTAATCGATTTAGGTTTTTACCCATAACTCCAAAACGGAGTGAGTGACAGTCAAATTATCCTCTCTAGCGGATTAATCGAGGTCCGAGAGTCCCCCGCCGGATAATGCCTTGAGAGAGCGAGATTGTGGCGTTAACACTATTGACAGTGACAGTGACATGACTTCATAATTCGAGTATGTTATTATTGTTCGAAAGTAGGAGTACGTACCTAGGCAATTCAATTTTAGAAACACCAGGGATATTTTTCTACTCCTAATTCCGAACGCATCGGGGGTGGCGGACTATGTACCTGCCTCGCCTACGGTTGCATTCCCCAAAGCCCGTGTACCTGTCAGAATCTTGAAAGCTGACGGCAAAGCTTGAAATTTGAAATTTGTTACTCAAGGTACTTTCGGACATATCACCAAATCCTTTGACGGCCCGGGCGTAGGAGTTTTCCGCCAATTAAACTTTTACCATGTTTCCATGTCATCGGGACAAGTCCTGTTGTGTGACACGGCATTGCTCTTCTACAGTAGCTCCTTCGTTCGAACTCCTTCAAGAACCGGCATGAAAATATAAAATGAATGATGGTGTGATAAAAGTCTTGGTGACCATTACCAAGTTGAACTTGTAGGAATTAGTCTACAATTAGTGGCGATTAGCTACGATTAGTTGCTAATCTGCCGGTGCTACTCAGCCTACAACACCCAATTTTCCGAAACTAGAATCACCAGAACCTTATTTCGTAATCACGACACCTTTTTCTTCATCACAAAAAGGAATAACCATGTTATAAAATCCATTTACAGGAAGAAAAGAAAAGCTTGTTGTTATATAATCTTTTTTTCTCTTGCTGTGCACTATGTTCACATGCATAATTCCACTATTGTGTGTTTCGATGGTCGCTTGCCTTGTCTGATTCGTTTATTGTACGTACTCGGATGGTATAATTTAATCAACATCCGACTAGACCTTGCGAACTCATTATTATTGTACTTCTAAATGTGGTAAAGTGATGAGGGGCTCCAATCTATTCAAGCGAGCTGCTTCGCCCATAAGACACGTTTCTTATATCCGGTACCTTGCAAGTTCTAGCAGGGTATAGAAAAAATTTAGTCTAGATCTAACTTTGGTACCTGATATCCGCTCCAGAAAGAAGGGGGAGAGGAGAAGAAAGAGGAGAACAGACTCAACATGAGAACGCCATCTGAGATCCTGTATGCGCGGACAGTTCCGTTTTTTGGCCTGCAATAAGTATCACAGTTTCATCTACTTAGTTTAGAGAAACCCAATTGGATGGATATTGGAAAAAGCCATTGCTTTTGCACATATCAAGCTTCGATTTTCTTGCTTCTCCCCCAGAGCTATCTACAAAGGTGTGCCTAGGTCCTGGCATTTCTGTAGCCATTGATCGAAAAATTCTCCGGGTTGATATGGAACCGTGCCCTTCGTTCCCATTGTTTTATTTCTAGAAAACTTGTATCTACCTCGCGCAGTCCCCCATTACTTAGCCTTACGCAATTCGTACAATATTCTAGATCTAACCAACGCGTGGGATCTTGCCCATCACTTTTCATCTCTTCCTCTTGCTTTGGATGACGATGAAATTCCACTAGAGTTATTATGAGTTCTTCGCGCGCAGTTCATCATTTTGTATCCCCTGAGAGAGAGGTCAATGCCGGCATCTGGTCCCTTTTCGGCGGTGCGACTGTATGTCTCGTTCTTCGACTTTGGTGCAAGCTGAGGAGACAAGGCCTTTGGTGGGACGATTATATACTCATACTTTCCTGGGTGAATACACTTTTCCAAAATATCGAGTCACGAACTTCGTCCAGCTAACCATCATATACTAGGTGGTTCTTCTAACAACCGACATCTTTATATCCTACGAATTTGCGACCGGATATGTCGTCAAGACTTGGAATGATCGAATGTTGATTCTCGTATCCATATCATCCTGCCTCACTACCGCCGGCCAAACATGGAGCAAATCCGCCTTTGCAGTAACTCTTCTAAGGATGACAAACAACTGGCAAAAATTTATTTGCGTAGCCACCCTCATCATCCTCAACGTCTTCCTCGTCCTCAAAGTCTTTGTAAATTGGTCCAAATACTGTGGTAAAACCGGATATCAGAACTGGTGGAGGATGCCTGGTTTCTGTGTTGATTACCAAGCAGCAGCTAACATCAAGGTTGGGGGAAATAGTGGGTGCCAAAATCCATATGATAAGATTGTCGATCACTAACGTTTCCTATTTAGTCTTCAATATTGTGGCGGACTTTGTACTGGCTCTATTCCCATGGATGGTCACATGGAAATTGAAGATATCTTTGAAAGAGAAGATCGCTCTTTGCATCACGATGAGTCTTGGGGTTGTGGTCGCTATCATCTCAGCTGTAAGAACTGCTTGGATGGATGATCCAAGTGTCGATGCCTATAATGATTATTATTTTTGTAAGTTTTGAGAAAACATCATCTTTACACTCCTCTTCCACTTCCTTCCCTCTTCATATCCATACAACATCCACGCCCCTCCCATACTCCAACCAAATCATCCCCATTCTAACAAACCACCAGGGCGCCAAGGACTATCCATGGTCTGGTATTCTGCCGAGGTCGCTGGCACCATCATTGTGCAATCCATCCCGCTAATGCGACCCCTCGTAAACGACATGCACACCTCTCTCGTCTCCAAAAAGCTAGGATCCGGCGCCGACGGCAAAAGTTACGGTCCGGGAAAATCAAACAAGAGTACGAACCGACGAACTCTTACTCTTATCTTGCAAGGATGTGATGTAAAAGATGACGAAAATGATGTAGAAGATCAGAAGAGAGTCGACATTGATAGAATGCATCTGACTCAGGATGAGAATGGGAAGATTGTACTTAGGAGGAGAACGGACTCGGGGGGGGATGTAAACGCGTATCAGAATAGTCGCGTGACGAGTTCTGCTAGGAGATTGGAAGAGGAGGAAATTGGATTGACGGAGGATCAAAAGGACAGGATGGTGGTGAGTAGTGAATACTACGCTAATGGAGGATTGTTGGAGGATATTCCGGAGTATCATGCTCATAGAGGACCATTGGAGGAAATCCCCGAGTATCATTCTCATGGAGAGCCGTTGGAAGAGATACCCGAATACCGTACGATTGGAGGCAAGGAGCATATCCCCATGACGGAATTCCATGCTGTCACTTGTTAATATGTATATATCAAACCCATGTAAATAATTTTACCAAAAAAAAAATGAAAAGGTTCCAAAAATGTATCTTCTATTACAACAATATCTATGAATTTCCAAATTTTCAAGAAAGTTTTATTCGCTAATGGTCCTTTGTATACCGGAACCCGCATTCCCCTATCCAAATAACTAAACCTCAATCCCATAATACCATAATCCTATATATAGGTACATGTACATCAAAACTTCGCCACCCTCTCCTCATACGCTCTCCGTTCCTTCTTCATTACTCTATCGACCCAAAAATAACTCGACGTCGCCCAAATAGCCAAATAAGCAAACAGCACCCCCAACGACAACCCAAACGCATAATGGAACTCCAGCGACCAAATGACCGCGCTCAAACAACCCAAATAAACCATGACGCCAAAAATCCACCACAGCGTCAGATGTAAAAACATTCTTCGAAACCCCGGCGAAGAATCATATCGCGCATTATATCGCACTCGAAACTCTCGGTCTTGCAGACCGTCCACCGCGATGAAATCTTCCGCCGCATAGTATATAAATGGACGCATGGGGGAGCCCCGCGCGTGAGAATTAATCCCGATGGGAATCTTAAACGGGATAAGTGAGATCACCATGACGATGCCGAGGAAACTCATTAGGAAGCCCGGAGAGTAGAGATACAGCTCCGGAATCTCGAGTTCGCTTCCTACCACAAACGGAATGAGCGCCATCAGCATCGAAACACCATATACCCAGGACGTGGCATCCAATTCCCATTTAGATCTTGACAGCAGCGGAGCACAGAGATCGCGATGCTTGAGAAGCCGCAAGACGCGCACGATCAGGATGTAGAGTTCGCCGAATCCGAAACAGATGATGGCGTAGCCGAGAATGTCTTTGTCGTATTCTGGTTTTTCGAGTGGACATTCGTTTTTGGGGTATGCTTCGCAGGACTTGGCCCAGCGGGCGCGATGAATGTCGAACCAGACGTAGTATATTATGCATGGGAAGACGATATCGGAAAGGAGGATAACGGCCGGACCGATGGTGATGGAGAGGTGATCTGTTGGTTTCGGATTTTTCTGTGCCAGTTTTTCATAAGGCGGAGGTGCTGGGAGAGCGCTGCTTCCATTGTCAGAATCTGAGGCGAGAGCTGGTGTGTAGCGTTGAAATGGCGTTTCCATTGTCTACGGTTTCGACTGGAAGGTATGCTGGTATTTCTTCGATTGTATTATTGTGCGGATCAATGACATTGATGCTAGGTGCCTCATTTGTGTATTCCGGGCCTCCAACTGCTCCATTCAGAGAAACGTTCGCACTCGAACCTGGTGTTAAAGGTCTTCCTTCTTCTTTCTTCTCAGCATCGCTGACAACCGGCGGAATTTCGTTCTGATTCTGTCCAACTTCTATCACTGGTAACTGCGGAGCTCCGCCTTCACCAGCCCCAGTTGCTGTAGAAGCCATGGATATATATTGATATTTATATGTGCAGGGAGGGAGGTGATACTGCTGATGTTCAGCAAAAGTACATTCCTGAAATATTATTGAATGGGGAAGTACTCTTAATGATCTGGGGTTTCTGAACCTTCGAGAAAGATCAGACAGCACGTTTTACTAAGGCGAAGAGCTGTCTTGTTTCAGATAGGTAGGACTTCAAGAGCGCTTGAAGAAGCTAGAGTACACTAGTGCTCCTGAGGTGTTTCAACATGTAAAAAGGCCGTTAACTATCCGCAGTGGTATAATGGGCTATGCTGGCTTCAGATTAACACGATGGTCGTAAGCCTTTTGCTGTGTGGGTAAGAGAAAGGAAAAGCAGTTGAGTGACAGAGGAAAGGGAGGAATAATGATGGTTAAGATCATCTTGTAAGATCTTGCCTTCCACCATCAAGAACAGTGGGGATGCTCAGAGAAAATCGATCAAACATCACTAGTCATCATGGAGAATTCGTTCGGGGTTCAAAATGGCATTCTAGAATCAGGTACCAAGCGCGGTGGGAGATGAAACCGATGTATACGCCGAAGCTTCCATCAAATATTCCATCCAAAAGATACCTAGTCCTTCAATAATCTTGATGAACTGCACTGCTTGACTCGGATATTACGTCTGAGCAACGTTTTGAGAATTAATCTGCACTTTCCAAAAGATTCTTTTGAGTCTGTTCACCAACTTGTGGAATAAAGTTTAAAATTTATTCCCGTTGGAGGTTTTGCGCTGATATATGTAAGTGGTTTCACGACTCGCGAGCCGTTTTAGTACTCTCCAATCAACCCGATAACCCACTTCGCGCATCTAATGCAGAGTCACTGCGGCTACTATAATAGTGCCCTAAATTCGGCATCGGGCTTCTTGATCACTGTCCTGCAAAACTGAGATTCTCCAGTTAGATTGCATTGTGCAGATTATAAAATGGGACCGGAAGAGGGATTCATAAACTCAAATTATTTAATTCGCCCCTTTTCCGCCCGGCCCGCTTCGTGCCATTCATACAGAGGATTTGCGAAAATCCAATCGACTAAATTACGAGCCATTTCCTGGCTATGACATTTGCCAATTTCTTGTTACCTGTGACCATACAAAGAATTTTGAGATTGTGTGCAGTATCAATTTCAATATCTTCTCGTGAGCTCTCATGGCCATCGTTCTCTTTCAGTACACGAAGGTAGTATTTTATCGCAAGATGCGAGACACCAAGCATATGATAAACTCTGGCCAGATTGTAATGAGCCTCCTGACGTTCCTCGAGAATGGTTGACTGTTTGCGTGAGTTATAATAATCGAAAAGGAATGTCAGACCTTGAAGGATCATGAATTGCCTGTTATCTGCTTGTCTCTTGAGCGAGTGATGAACATAAGCAAGGCCTATGTTCAGATTGATGATAGCATTATTTGGATCAAGTGCATAAGCTCTCAGGAAATAGTCTACGATTTGTTTCGTTAGCAAAATGATCTGTCCAAGATATCAATTTGGGTTGAAGTACTTAGAGAGTATGCATAACTTGTTCCCGAGTAAAGGATATGGCCGTATAACATCAGGAGAGCGACGTCCATATCATCGTTAAGAATTGGTTTTCCATCCTTGTCCTGCGACGTGTAGCCGGCTTTCTCTGCATAGCCTCTTTGACGACGAGTTTTATCGACGAGATTGAAATCCATGGCCTTGACTTGACGAAGCATATACTTTTGTTCGGGACCTGAACAATACCACGAGACTGGAGATTGACACAACCTCGCTATGGCTGCGTACATTCTGTAAGAATCTGTGGTGAATTGATATTCTCTCATGAAATATCTTGCCACTCTGATACACATCTCCTCGTCATTACAGAGCAAAGCACAAGCTGTATGACAATTAGTAAAAGCTAACTTCTCGAAAACTATGAACTTACTGCCCCAGCATACATGAATCAAGAACATGTCCTCGCGCTTGTGATAGAAGACAATTGAGTCCCTAGCGGACTCGCAAATCTCATATGACTCTCTATCATGCCCATCCTTCGCGAGACAAATTGCGTACTCGAGAAAGATATCCAGCCAAGAACCGAACGAGATACCCCGATAATCAGCTGGAATACTGGCAGATGTAGCACTATTTCGGTCCTCAGCATCGGCTCCGAGTTCTAAAAGGGTCAGTAATACATTAGTTAGAGTCAAATATTAGGAAGTTTTTACTAACTTTTTGACAAGCGATCAGCCATCTCCGTTAAATCAGTCTCCAGTTTTGTCTCCGCTTGAAATTTATCGTCATGAGTATAACCCAAGAATTTGACATATTTATCCCAAGGATAAAAAGTTTTAAAGGCTCGAAAATCATCAATGAGATCTTCAGCAGCCTCCATCCACTTGTAGGTTGCTGTTGGATCCCCAGCTCTCATCTGTTCAAGTTCTGTTTTCATAATAGAGTACTGGTTCTGTAGATGTTCCGCTCTGGCGGCCTCTTCCTTCTTCCTTTCGGCTGGATTAAGGAGCCTGCGCGGTGCATAACGAGATTGACCTCTCCGAATACCAAGGAATGACGTATGTTTTCTACGTGGCTTCTTAGAAGGTGCAGAGTCGGAAGATCCTGTTCCAAATGCTGGGCTCTCATTTTGACGTTGTGTTCGTCGAATTGCTATGATTTCATTGACATACATGAAAGACTGGTCTTTTTCGTTCAGTCTTTCGTAAAGTTTAGCGAGCTCCATCCTTGCTGGGATATTGTCCACCTCCATTTGTACTGCGTTTTGAAAACAGAGTTCGGCCTCTTGGTCAGACTTTTCACCAAGCCAACACTTACCCATCTTGAATTGCAGCGAAGCACCTTCGGAACCAACGCCTGGTGCCAATGGTAAATAGTAATCCAAAGCATCCTTATTATAACCCTTTTCGGCCAAAGTATCAGCAACTTCCTCAAAGAGGTGAGGAAATTCTTCAATGAGACTTTGGCCATTATAGTCGGAGGTTTTAAGATAATTAAAATGACGCTGGGTATGTTAGAAACACTTTTACATAAGGGAGAATGAGAGGGCTTACCATAGCCTCTGTATAATGACCAAGGAATAACCGGTATAGTCCAAGTTTGACTCGTAGCTCGACGGGCAAGCCTGGACCATATGTATCTAATGGGAATGTCTTGGCATCAAATTGGGAACATTCAGATCTCCTAATATGATCATCGTCCCACTCTCGATCATCATCAACGAATTTGTCCCAAAATTCTTCTTCACTTCTTCCAACTAACCAACGAGCTACCGACCTGAGCTCCTTGATACCTTCAGTGTATTTTTCCATGAGCCCAAAAAGCTCGACGTATGCATAGGCATCTGTCCAACCAAAGGGTGTGTCAATTTCTACATCGGCTTTCTTGAATTTATCGAGGGTTTTTGTGTAAAGTTTTATGGCGACCTCTACCTGCCCTCGATCAACGTAAATCGACGCTAACGTCTGAATAACTTCTGTATCGAATGGGCAACGCTTGAGAATGATCTCATATTCTTTGGCCGCGTGACTAAGGTTTCTTCGCTCAAGCATGAGAGAAGCTTTGATTCTCCGAGCCTTCAGATCTTGTGAATCCGCTCTGAGGATTTGTTGAGCTGCGTATTGAGCAGAGATAAGAAATTCTGATCTTAGATCGCCAGTCTCATTCAAAGCAAAATTCAAGGCGGCATACCAAGCACCGGGATGCTTCGGCCTCCAAGTCGCAGCAACCATCAGAGCCTTGACAGCCGAGTTGTATTCGCCCAATTCTTTGAAGCAAGCAGATAGTAAAGTCCATGCTTCGTAAGTCTCTGCATTAATTCGAACAATTTCCGCAGCTATATCTCTAGCCTCTTCACAGCGCCCATTCAAGAATGCATGGTTGGCTTGACCTAACCGTAATTTGATATCACCAGTTGGCTCCGCTGCTTTCCGTGGACCTCTGATACCCGGTTTACGACCTCTAGCTCCTTTGGCACAGCGCTTTTTGCCTTTCTTTCGACCAGCGGGAGCTTCATCGGAATCATCATCACTATCTAAGTGTCTAGCCTGGCGCACCTCATTTTGCATCTTGCGAATTCCTTTACCAAATTCACGATAATCAGGATCAGAGTCATCCGAATCACCACTATAACAATGTCAGTCCAATTTCAAACGCACGCCCTTCCTCCAAAGTAAACTTACCCAAGATCCATATCTAGAATGTCATCCACGCCGCCCTCCACCTGCTCTCGTCTCTGATTTCTCTGCTCCGTACTTGCTGCAGCAAATTCGGTCCTTGCATTGTCTAGGCTAAAACTACCAGTGCCTTGAGCTGGGGTTGAGTCATGAGTAGGCCATATTAAGTTTTGGCTCTGGCTTGCTTCTGGATCCGGGTATTGGTGACCTTGACCAGTGAAAGCATAGGCCGGTGATATATCATGAGAGTAACCAGACATTTTATCTAGAATCCTAAATATCGAAGCCTCTCACAGGTTTGATTACTTCTTAGAGTTTTTTTATCTAAGAATTATTGGCTGTTGTGGTTATCATGCGCAACCTCAGCTGGGTAAGTTCTGTGTTCAGTGTATGTATTTCTCTTTCAAAAAGTATTCAAGAAATACATCTTCTTGAGGAGTCGGAAATGATTGAAACAGAATCTAAAGCTCAAAGCAAGTGCTCAGATGTACCACTGTAGGAAACGGAAAGGTAGTATCAAATGAATGTTTGTATAGAAAAGTATGTCACTCTTTTTATTTCGACGGAGGGAACAATGACAAGATCTAGAAGTTTAATATCTTAGCCTTGCATAAGGCTGATGAAATATTACAGACCGCCTTCCTTAAACGATAGTACTTTCCCCCACCTAAATTTCATTCAGCCCCGCGAAAGAATTAGACATCTACAAATTTGTGATAAGAAAAAGTTATTGATTGTCGCAAAATACAACACAGCGAATGAGTTTCTCAACACAGTTGTTCAATCTTCCTCAATAGAACTCAACTCTATTCGTTCAAAATGCCCTCCACCA